ACATGTGTAATAAAAATTCTACATTTTAAATATATGAAGATAATCGTGTAGCATTTTCTTCTTTATCCTACAGAAAACCCAGATTCATGTAAATTCACATGTTGGGATTGATATTTCTCCTAAATCTCTCTTTTATTTTTCTTGAGTCAGAGTCTTGTTCTGTTGCCCAGGCTGGAGAGAAGTGGTGGGATCATGGCTCATTGCAAGCTCCGCCTCTGGGTTCACACCATTCTCCTGTCTCAGCCTCCCAAGTAGCTGGGACTACAGGTGCCCGCCACCATATCCAGCTAATTTTTTTGTATTTTTAGTAGAGACTGGGTTTCACCGTGTTGGCCGGGATGGTCTTGATCTCCTGACCTCGTGATCCGCCTGCCTCAGCCTCCCAAAGTGCTGGGTTTGCAGGCGTGAGCCAATGCACCCGACCCTAAGTCTCTTTTAATCTACAGTGGTTCTCTTTCCATTTATTTTTAAATTGTTTTCTTGTGATTCATTTATTGAGAAGTCAAGTTGTTTATATTATGGAGTTTCTCATCATCTTGATTGTACTTTCCTTGGTTTAACTTTACATGTTACTCTGTCCCATATGTTTCCTATAACTTTTGACACTTAATCAAATAACATTTTTTGTTTGTTTCTTTGTTGGGTTTTCTCAAAACTGTTACATAGATGGTATAATAGTCTGCTTGGGCTGCCATTAAAAAACACCCTAGACTTAGTAGCTTAAGCAATAGTAAGGTATTTTCTCACAGTTCTGGAGGCTGGAGGCCTGAGATCAAGGTACTTTCGTGGTTAGTTTTTGATGAAGCTTCTCTGGCTGCTTTCTTGTGTCTTCACATAGCCTTTCCTCTGTGTACCCTTGGACGGAGAGAGAGGGAAGAGAGAGAAAGAGGACAAAGAGAACACTAGTCCCATCAGATTTAAGAGCCCATCCATATAAACTCATTTAGTCTGGTTACCTTCTTAAAAGGCTCTATCTCTCTATAATAGTCACACTGGGAGTAAGGGCTTCAACATAAAATTGTTACTGGTGAGGGGGACAACTCAGGCCATAGCAGATCATGTTGAATTAATTATTCTATTGAGAGGTATATATGTGGCTTTATCTCTTTTTTGTGATATTAGCAGCATTTGGTGCTCAATGCCATGATCCATTCATTTATGAGGGGTTGTAAAATGATGGCACTCTGATATTATTACTCTTCTTAAATTATTAGCTGAAGTTATTTCTTAATGAGACACTTTTTAATCAATTGTTTGTTTACCCCATGCTAAGGTCATATGGAAAAAGCATGCTATGTTTTCTTATTTACTGATTTTCAAAATATTTCTCTAGCATGCTCCAAAAGTGATCAATATGTTATTTTGCAACACTGCCATAAACTTATGAATTTAAACATATTTGATCTGTTTCAGATCATTACTGATATTATCCTTATTGATGCTCAAATTGCCTTATCTTTAGCTAAAAATACCTTTTGGCTCTTGAAAACTTTTCACATCAGTTTAGTAGTCTTGGAATTCTTTCTTGCTACTTGGTGTGAGCAGGTGTTTCACAGCCATTTGTTGATTTTTCTGCCCTGGACCTGAAATCAGCTCTCTCTCAGAAATCTTAACTGCTTTTATTGGTAAATAGTATTTCAAAACCATAGTCTGATCATTAGAAATATTCATTGCTTCTTTAATGGCCATTATATTTGGTTCTGTGTTTCAGCATTCAGAGCTATGTTGTATGTATCTTAAGATAAACTACCACCTGAGTTTAAACTTCCACTGCCAATTCAAACTCAAAACCATAGGTTTTCTATTTTACCTCTTTAATTTTTAATTTCTATCTCTTTATCATCCCTTGCCAAGAATCCAGCTTTCAATACTGAAAAGAATAGAATTAGAATGCCACATAATAATGTACTTATTTAATTTATTGTAAAATACTCCTGTAACTATCTTAGAATCACAACATACCACCAATATGATTACTGTAGATAGTTTAACTTTTTGTGTTTTATAATTTCCTTGGTACTTCAGCTATATAACACAGTGGGTGTGATGTCAATACTACTTTTAAAATTCACCTGGGATAGTTCTTTTTGTTTGTGCTTATGCCAACAACTGAATATACATTTAAATTGAATTATTTTATTTAATTTTTAGAGAAGTCCTTGAATTTAATTCGTTTTAAAATAATATGTAACATATGTAGCTCTAAAATTTAAAAAATGTGATATAGTTAATGAAATTTAGTTTCAACGTCTATCCTCTCCACATATTCCCTCTTTCTCATAAGTAACAATTTTTTATGTTACAGTCTATCTTTGATTTTTTAATGTCTGTATGTATTCCTTTGTAAATACGCATATGTATTCTTCTTAAAAGTTAGTATATTATCGGCCCTTATTTCCAAATTCCTTTTTTTACTGAATATAGCTGAAAATAATTCCATAGTAATAGGTAAAGATATATATCACTTATAATCACATTTGAATTATCATCTGCTTTAGGATGTATCACTACTTATCTACCCAGACCACTATTGATATATATTTAGGTGGTCATTTATCTTCCATTATTATAAATGGGAAAATGTCCAGATGTGGGATTTATGGGTCAAAAAGTAAACATTAATATCATTTTGATGGCTTATGCCATACTCTCCTTCATAAATTTTATAACACTCATATTAACACCACCCATGTCCAAAGTGTGTGTTTTCCTGCGGGCTCACCAACAGAGTACAGTGTCCAACTGGGACAATTGCTAATCTAAGTGGCTAATGAAATCTTAATGTAGGATTAATTTATAATTTTCTTCTTATATATAGAGATAAGCATCTTTGCTTATCTTTGCTTATGATCAAGCGTCATTTGCCTTTCTCTTTCTGTGAACAGTTTTATCTTTAGCCCCAAACTTTTTTGTTTTGTTTTGTTTTGTGACAGAGTTTGGCTCTGTCACACAGGCTGGAGTGCAGTGGTACAATCTCAGCTCACGTAACCTCCGCCTTTCCCGGGTTCAAGTGTTTCTCCCGTCTCAGCTTCCTTAGTAGCTGGGATTACAGACACACCATCACGCCTAGCTAATTTTTGTAGTTTTAGTAGAGACAGCTTTTCACCATGTTGGCCAGGCTGGTCTCACACTCCTAACCGCAGATGATCCGCCCACCTCAGCCTCCCAAAGTGCTAGGATTATAGACGTGAGCCACCGTGCCCGGCCAGCCCCACACTTTTTAAATCCCTCACTGGCCCTCTTTTTAGCTAATTTATAAATGTGTGTGTGTGTGTATGTATATATATATATATATAAACGGTATGAACATTTTGTCTCTACATAAATTTCAAGTATTTTCTCAGTTTGTCACTTGTGATTTTACTTTTTTATTGTGTCTCACCGTACAATTTTGCAATATCATTAAACTTATCTCTCTTTTTCTTCATGACTTCTTGACTTTGAGCCATAGTTAGGAAAGGTTTGCCCACTATTACATTAGAGTAAAATTCATCCACATTTTCATCTATGACTAGTGTTCATTTTTTTATTATTTATTATGAATATCTTCTTCATTTGGGGTTTACTCATGTATATTCCATGAAGAATGTAACTCCTATATAACCCCTTTATCATATGTTACTTTTCATCTATAATTTTGACTATTTGTAGATTTTACAGTCGGTTTTAATGGTGTAAAATATGTTTCTGCTTTTTGTTTTCCCCTCATTTATTGCCCAGGAGAATTTCCTTTCTTGTCTCAGAGTTGAGGCAAATAAGTAGTAACAAGAAGCCCATTTTTGGATGTGTTGGAACATCTGGCAGTCTGGATTTTTAATGAAAGCTGTGTTTCAGATTGTCCCTTTAAATTAAATACATCATTTAATCTCCCCAGTCTCCCAAATCATCATCTGTAAAATGTAAATGATTTACAGAGGTATTGGTGATTAGTTATATAAAGCATTTAGCACAGTGTAGGTTTCCATAATTGGAAGCTATATTATTTTACTCTTATGGTTATTAATTTTACAAATGTATATACTATACAGTTTTATGATTTGACTTCTTCACTTTGGGAAAAGAATGTTGCAGTACACAAAGGAAGATTATACAATTAGAAGAAATTTCTTCATGAAGAAATGTATTTTGATTATTAAAATACATTAAGAAATACCATCTTGGCTAGGCTTGGTGACTCACACCTGTAATTCTAGCACTTTGGGAAGTTGAGGCGGGCGTATCACTGGATGTCACCAGTCTGGCCAAAGTGGCAAATCCCTGTCTCTACTAAAAATACAAAAATTAGCCAGACATGGTGGCACAAGCCTATAATCCCAGCTATTCAGGGGCTGAGGCAGGGGAACCACTTGAACCAGGGAAGCAGAGGTTTCAGTGAGCCGAGATCAAGCCACTGCACTCCAGCCTGGGTGACACAGCAAGGCTCCATCTCATTCATAAATAAATAAATAAATAAGTACCCTGTCTAGACATTAAGAGTATGATCAGAACCTATATTTAATTTACTCTGGTTAACATAATTAGCTTGATATTAATCTTAAGAAGTAATATATGGAACAAAATATGTTCATATTAATTTCCAAGCATCTCACTATTTGGTACAAATTGTTAATAGTTTATTACAATATATGTTGAAAGACCAAATAGCTATAATTAAGATGTATGCACCATTAAAATAAAATTTCATAATCAAAAATGTACTCTCCCTCCACTTAATATCTATTTTCACCTGATGAAGTTTCAAAATTATTAGAGCCCTTCTTAAGAAAAAGAATTTTCAAAAATCATCCAAACAAATATTTTCCATTTTCTTACTGATGCACTAATTATGAATAACTATATACCACGTTTGTGTCTGCTTTCCCTGGACTGCATAATTTTGAAACTTAATTTAGTAATGAAATTGTAACTTTGTTCCTCAGTTAATGAAAGGAAATAGATGAAGCAGATACACATATTACTTATTGTTCTCAATTATGTACTGAAATCTGAATGTCTTCCAGGGACTCCTGAGGATTACCCACGGTTTTTCCATATGCATCCTAGGACAGCAGAACTTAGTCTCCTGGAGCCAGTCAACAGAGACTTTCACCAGAAATTTGATTTGGTTATTAAGGTAAATTAAGCTAATATCTTATTTCCTTGTGTTTGTGAACTGCTAATCAGATAAATCTGTAGAGGCTACTGTAGGCAGTTTTATGTTATAAAATTAAAATTAATGTGGACAGCAACCAATTTTTTGTTTAAAAAAAGGCGAAGTCCAGTTTTAATATATGGCATTGCTTTTCTCTAAAATAACTTTTTATAGTACTATGGGGTAAAATACTAAATATTCTGATATGTAACCAATGCCTTGGTTAAGTGTATACAATTCTACACAATTCATTATGTCTTCCCACATTTTTTTTCTACTAAAAGGAATTAGCATTTTACCACAAAAACATGACCAATTAAGACATCTAAAATGTGCTTGATTTATATCTGTTATTTTAATTTTGTTTTAATTTTTATTAGTTAATTTTATTTTAATGTGTTTTTGTGTTTTTAATGCCGATTTTTCCAACATAAAAATAAAAGGTCTTGCCTACCCAGAGATGCATTCAATACACCTCATTATTTTCTTTATATTGAAAGATGATCTTTGACCTGAAATAATTTTGAAGCTAAGTTAATCTATTTGGCATTTCACTTTTGGTTTAATAGTATATCTGTATTTTAATATAATCATTAAATAGATATTGTAAAAATGCAGATATTCTTCTAATTAATTTCGACGGACTTCATTGAGATGGTGAGATTTAATCTAAGCAGTGAAGGAAAAACAGGAATTTGACAGGCATTCATGAGGATTGGGAAAATTTGGGCATTGTAAGTACAACAAAAGGCAAAAGCAAAGATTCAGCATAAGTTTTGTATATAGTACACAACTTTCTCATATTTAAGTATGCAAAAAAACTTCTAGAAATGCATCCCGATGGTATTTTTCTTACCTTTTGAAAAATGTAAACATATTAAATGAAAAAGAAGTAAGGTAAGGAAGCTTACTGAGAATGAACATTATTCAAGCTGCTTTATGTGCATTTTTCATTGAATTGTTGCCACAACTTTAGTATTATTCTCATTTGCACAAAATGTGGAAACTAAAGTTCAGATAAGGTAAGTGATTACCTTAGAGTTAATTACTAATAAGGGGCAGAGTTGAGTTTCAAATTTAGTTTTATATACACTAAAGCCATGCTCTTTTCACTTCACAAATATGCAGATACTTAGAAATGGTTGTCTGGTTAACAATGAATAGATATGTCCTTAGCACAGAACCTGTGTTTATTCAGCAATCCTTGTCCTTGAAAAAGCTTATAGTCTAGAAAGGGAAACAGTCATATAATGAAATAAATCAGATATAATACATCCTCTTATAATACCTCAAAAGAGGAAGACATGTAAAGAATGGTAACAACACATGGAATAGGGACATTTAAATTAATCTGGAAACTCACGGAAGATTTTCTGGAGATCACCCCAAGCTAAATGTTGCTGGATTGAAAAAGTATGGCCAATGAACAAAAGTGGGAAATATGTTTGAACATAAGGAGGCGCAGAAGTGAAAGCTTGGAAACATAATGCACAGGCTACAAGCAGTTAACAGGGAAATGAGGTCTAGAGCCAGACCACGGAGGGAGCCTGAAGGGTGACTGCAATTTCCTGATTTCATTTATTAAGGGTTTGGGAGTTATTCAACAAAAAACACCACTTTAACCGATTGTATTAAATGCCATACATGAGATTCACTTTCTTACATTGACTATGGTAATTGTTATGGGAGTATATAAAACTCCACAATGTGTACTGATTTTCTGTTGTGGATCTCCCTGGAGTCTTGTGGTGCTGCTTTCTATGGGAATTAAGAAATTTGACAAAGCACTGTTTCCAAACTGCTACATGTGAAACCAAAAATCAATTATTTTCCTTTATTATCGAATTCAGCTGTCCTCGTGTACCTGGATACAGTGTAACTCAGTCCATCAATTAGAGGAAAAAAAAAAAAAAAAGCAATTACAACAGGTCACAGATTTTTTTTGTTTTAATAACACTTTCTTTTATTAATGGAAGTTTTAACAGGCATTATTAGATTCAAATTACTATGTTTTGTGTGAAGTCAAGGACATAATAAGCCAAGGTATCTAACTGTAATAATAATGTACCACCTGCTTGAATAATAACTGAGTATTGTGGCATTGTTCAGGGGACTATTGAAATGCTACAATCTCTCAGTTCTCCTCTACAGTAAATCTTTCCATTTCTTCTCTCTCTCTCTCTCTTTACTTTAATAATACTTCATTTTCGATTGGCCCTAAAAGTTTTTGTTGGACTAGATCCCAATTTATGTTTCAAAAGCAGAGAAAAAATAAACTGAAGTATCGTCTCCTACATTTTGAAGAAGAATTCTGCTTTAAAAAGCTATGTGTGTATTTAACAGCTGGTGAGTGCCACGAATTAGAGATTTATCACGTTCATTTTTTCCTCTATTTCTCCCAGTGATTTATTCAACATGCTGACAAATAAAAATGTAAAGGTGAAACTTGGAAGACAAAGTGGAATAGTTCACAAACTTTAGAATCTGAAAAGATTAAAACATGCAACTGAAAAAGTTTGTTCCATTCCAAAACACTATCCTAAATTTTATATAATTGTAATCATTTAAACATACTTTAAAATGTGATATAGACTGTGAACAAGAATCATAGATTTGGTTTACCCAGGACAGTACATGTTTATGTCTGTTGTCTTTGTGTAATTATTCATAATACCTCTCTTGCTCTTTTAAATGTCCCAGTTTGTATAAGTTATTTGATCACTACACTCATAAAATAAAAACCACCTATGATGTAAAAATATGAAAGCACATTTAAGACGCTGGTAAGAGTGAATTACTTCACATATGGATCATCTATTACAAAGTCCATAAAATCACTTTCAGTGTTATAAGTGAAATATTTTAAAGTATTATTAGTTGATATATTTATACTTCAGGCATCTAATCAAAGCTACTAGTCATTAATTATTAAGATCAATTAAATGGATCAATTATGAATAATTTACTATCTTTCAGTTCTTCAAAGAACAATTGCATGTTTTAATCTAAATCCCTTTAACAATGAAGAGCAAAGATCACAATGAAATTAGAAGCATAATTGTTTCATGTTTCCTCTGATTTTCATGTTGTTACTCACTGACCTACTTATTCTGTCTAGCACACTGCCTTTTAACTTCTTTTCCTTCCAACTCATGAGCTCATTAACCCTGAGATCTCACTACTTCCCTTGCACACCCTCTGTTCCAGACATACTAAACCGCTTCCAGTGCCCTCCACTGACCATGCTGTTTCTGACATCTAAGCATTTAGAGATACTCTCCCTCTTCCTGAATCATTCCTCCCTCTTCTTGTCAACAGTCTAATTCAAACTGATGCTTCAGTTTTTAACTAAGAAGATGTTTGCCCTAGAAAGGCATAGCCACTGTTAGGAAGCCGCTTTTTTGCAGCCTGTTGTCCCCTAGAGTGGCCCCAATTACTCTATTGAATGTACCTGTTTATTTTCTCCCAACTTTTACAGGGGGACAGATTGTGAAACATTTATTTACACTGTGTCCCATGCCCCTACACCTACCTATATACAGCACATAGAAGCTGCTTAATAAACATTTGTTGTAATGATTTTCTCCGACACAGTAAATCTTTTCAGACTGTTGAGTCTGTACCTACATCTTCACTCTATCTAAATACATACACTTGAATGTGTATACATTTGATAAAATTTGATCTTGCATCTTTGTCCAAAAAAAAAAAAAAAAAAGATGCAAATGCGGCAAATAGATTTCCATATAAATTCCATCCCTAGAAAAAAGGTCAGACCTTTGTTACGGCACAACTAAAGCTATTTATGACTGCATCAAGAAAGGTGTTGTGTTTCTTCTAAAGAAAAATTACATACTTGTCATAGAAAATGAGCCAGGGAATTAAAAACTAGTGAGCTTGACTCTTAGTGCTGATGTGCCTCATGCCCTGGCAAGGTGTGGTTCTTGAGTAATTTGAGAGTTACAGGAAAACAGCGTTTGAGAAATGATTGAGGGCTAAGAGGACAGCTACTACAACTCCTGTCCCTACATGAGTCACTAATGCCACAACTCTAGAAAATGTTTAGTCACTATTTGAGTAATGATAAAAATTGTATTTTACTTCATAGAAATTTAACACAAAACCCTGATTCAATGATTTTAAAGCATATAGCATTTGCTAGTTTTCAATTTGTCTAATCCTTGTTGAGTGCTTCTCAGGTGCCTGGCATTTTTCTTGGTGCCGAGGAGACGTATTTTACTTCTGATGTCTACAGATTTCTTTTGAATTATTGGTTGGATAACTACTCCTAGGATTATTTAATTGTGACAAGTTTAAAATATAGCAAACTATATATATATATATCCTTTAAAAATTCCAAACCTTCTATTTTCTATTCTCTTTTTCAATTAATCATATTTCAGTTGGTCACCCACCGAAGCTAGACACTTCCACTTCCTCAAATGTCTCTACTCTCGAATGTTCCCACTCAGTCGCTCATAGAATCCCTTCTTGATACCTTTGAAATTCTCTTGAATATCTCAACTCTGCTTATCCATTGCAATTCTTTAGTTCACATTCTCTTGACCCATCATCTTGCACAAGCAGTCTCTAAAACTATAGCTTCATTTCTGTGCATCTTATCCATCTTTTCACACTGCCAACAGAGTATCACTAAAACAACAAAAAATAGATCATACTGCTGCATGTTGCCTTGAAGCCAATTTACAATTTGCCCCCTACCTGAATTTCCCACAGAGACACTGTCAAGTTGAAAGATCACAGGTGTCTAAGTCTGGCAGAGTAGCAAGTCAAAGATCATCAGTCATCACTTCTCAAAATGAAAAGGATGGAACCTACTGTGAAAATGAAAAAGCTAATAAAATTAATTAAATCTGTTATGGAGATGTGAAATATAAGTTATGTTCTTTCTACTCTAATGTGTAAATCATCAGTTTTCCAAAAAAAAAAAAAAAAAAAAAAAAAAAAACATGAGAGAGAGA